ACCCAGTGCAGTCTCTTCTGTTGTATTTTTTTCATCAAAAGCCTTGCACAAAACATAATTCAGAATCAAAACCTGTTTGTTAAAATCTAAGCGTTCAGAAAAGAGTTGATTTATTTAAAATAATTTTTATGAAAACAGGTTTGATCAATTAGTGGCTTAAATGTGTAATTGTAGCATTTTATTTTTACCTTTCTGTATGAGCTTTTCTAACAAGGCTGACATACTGAGCATACTCTAGCTGTAATTTTGATTGAAATTGTTTTGAGCAGGGTTTTTTTTATGCTTACATAATTTGTACTAGGGTCATTGAATTTAACTCCAGGAGACTATTTCAGCAGTCGTTTTGACTGAAATGTGTTTTCTAAATGGCATCTGGTTTTCAAACTGTCTTGTTGCATAGCAGTGGTTTTAGCACGTGCGTAAACGTAACTCTTGGCAGTGGTGGGTTTCAAACAAATGCAGTGAGCTGCATGTTTGCTTTGAGAGCCGCGTGATGGTGATGCTGCAAAGCACTACAGTGCCTGTAAATTTTAATATTACTGTGAGAGAATATGGTACTGTTGTCTGATGGTATTGAAATAATGAAAGTTCTTAATTTCTTGATAGGTTTGAGGTTCAGAATCATAAAACAGATTCAGGCTGTGGCTGAAAGCAAGCCAGCCTGAAGAGTTAGAATTAACATTGCAACTTGGCCAAGATAATTGAGGATTGTAGACTGTGGAGATGAAAAATACCTCACACATCATCTAGTACGTCTCTGCCAGTTTGAGATATTTCCTGCTAGTGTCTTTCATTAGTGTTTTGTCTAGTCCAGCTTAAAATGTGCCACTCAGTGAGATTTCAGTCACATCCCTAAGGAAAGAGCGTTTTTTTTTCCCTAATAGTCAGCATCACTTTCTCTGTTAAGTTTTATCCTATGGATTTGAAATGTGCCACACACTTTGTCTCGACTCTTTCCTGTGATAATCAATTACTGGTTAGCCAAAGAAACCATGTTTTTCCCTGTATCTGAGTCCTAATTCTGCTCATGTTTTGCACCTCCGCAAATGTTTTCTGGCTTCTTGTGGTGTCCTCGGGAAGAGCCTGGCCTTTCTCAGCAGACAGCCCTCACTTCTGGAATCCTTCTTGCTTCCACACAGCCGTGTGCTGACAAAGCCGGTCTTTGTGTCTGCTTGAGGAATGATGCAAGGCCCATCTGTTAGCTCAGGCTGATAGGAAAAAAGCAGCCTTTAAGGATGGCTTGTTTGTTGCTTTGTTTATTCCAGAGGTTTCAATGTCCATATTTGACCAGCGAATCTCCAGAAGCAATCTGAGCAGTCATTTCCTACTGGCAGCGAATCTCTGCCATGCTTTTATGGTTATTCTCACCTTGCATCCAAGCTTTCAGCAGCAGGTTTCTCACACAAACGTATTTCAAAGCAAGTTATGGCTTATTTTTAAACATACCGGTGACACCTGTTCCTTCACATTTTTCAGATCAGTAACTTTTCTTGAGATTTTGTTGTTACTCCTGTAGAAAATTCCATTTACTTCTTAAGTTTTGCTGGTATTAAATCATTACCAGATCTAACTTTAATTTTATGAATAGCTTTAAAATATTTCTTCCAACTGTAATTTCTTTTGTTCAAATAAATGTCCAATAAATATTCTTTCTTATGTCACCCACACAGTTTTTCTGGCTTGTTTCTAGTCTGTTCGTGCCAGATGAAGTGCAATGAGTTTGACATTGCATTCATATTTTTCCCAACTGTGTTAACTTTTGACTTTTCTTCATTAAGAACGGATTGCCTCGACGTTTTACAACACCTGAAGTAACATTTTTTCAATACTTAAGTTATAGGTGGCATTTGGACCTTAAGAATTAACAGAACATGAACACTGGTGATTTTTAAAATTTTGCTACAAATACTGTGTTAAACCCAGTTCATTCCACTGTATTCTTCTTTACCAGGTAAATGCCCTAAGTAGGCACAATGGGAGAGATTGTTTATATGAATGCAGTTTTATGCAAAATAGCTCGGTTCCAGAAGCAGTTAGAATGAAAGTTAGATCTCATGATGATTTAATACCGTACATATAACTTTTTCTTCCTTCTATCACTGCCCCCACCCCAGTTAGCTGTTGGATGTTCAGCAAAGAGGAGCTCAAACCTCTTTGGTCAGGAGGAAATTGAACCTTCTGTGTCGTAGAAGACGTCTTAACCATCTGGTGAAGATAATCGCATTTTTATTAATCAGGTCTAGAAAACCAGGTTCAGTGCAAAATATGTGAGGCACTTCATAATTTCACATCTACCACAATTGGATCTTTTCTTTTGACAAAGCGATTTATTGTGAAAAAATATGCGCGTTGCCCAATTCTGTGGCTGATTCATCTGCAGGAGAATCTTGCTATGTTGTATAATGCAGATAAAATGAAGAAGTCATTGCTTCGGGGTGACAGAACTCTCTTGCTGGTTTCGATTCTCTCTGAATCCATTGAAAAATCTGTGCAAACAGAGCTCCAGGCTGCTGCCCCCTCAGATTGAAGGCTTTTGGATTTGTCCTTGGGAGATCTCTGTCTTTGTCCACATACAGACTAGGCATCTGTAACTAGGTTTTGAATTCTGCTCCAAACACTCACAAGTTAGGTTTTTTAGCTTCTAACATTTGGCTTTCTGTAGGGGAGCTGGTCCCTATTCACTCCCCTTAGATACATGTTCTTTCTCTTTGTCTCTACTGAGCCTCTTTGAAGATAAAACTTTCTTACCTGCATGAATTGAAAACGGCAATTCTCCCTACTTCTGTCTTTTTAAGCAATCTCGGGACCAGGATTCATTGTTTCAGCACTCACTTCGCTGTGATGACATTTTTATTAAGCTAAATAAATGGAGGATTTGTGAAAGAAATGAGTAAAGGATTGCAGTTTGCTAAGTAAGTTTGTGTTACTCTGATGATCAATAGTTTCATTTGTCTTGTAATATAGTATATTGAGTCTTTAGAGTTAATGTCTTGAGTCAAAAATGTTAATGAAACTTAACTATCTAGTCTGATTCTATTTCAGATTTACTGAGTCAGCCTTTAGTAAGGAATTTTAAGTTGCTGACCTTATGTTACACACGTAGCATTTGGTGCTAGTTGGAAAAGAAAAGGATTGCGTTTTGTTGTTTAAGTATTGCTGGAGCATTTGTAGTACAGCAGCAAGGTCACTTTTACATCCCACGTAAAACTGAGATGAGTCCAGCTGCAAACTATCTTGGCTTTTGCTGTGCTCGTTGGGAGGTTTTAGGAGCCTCCTGCCATTCCTTCATTGGTGATTTCTGAATGTGAGGCCGGCTGCAAGCGTGTATTGCAGAATGGATTCGCCAATAATGGTGCACTGCGGTGTAAAATAGCAATTGTTACAGCAGATTACTCCATAATGCTTCTTCACTGACTGAATAAGGACTTTGTTGAATGAAGAATGTAGAAAAATGTGCTCTCATACTCGTATTTTAAGAAAATAAATACCTAACAAGTTTGAGATTGATCCCAATTCAGTGATATGTTCGAAGTGATTAATGAACTGGATTTTGAACCATTTACCATATACTAAGTTCAGTTTTCTTAAATGCTGTCAATGTTAACAATTTGTAAACCACGTGCCACTCTTTAGCGTAATTTATAGACCTGAATTAAGTAAATGGAGTTCGTCTTTGTGAATATGGGTAGGCCAGTATTCCTTAACCAAACTCCAAAGACTTTGCAGAATGATGGCATCCAAACTATTCTTATTTAATTCCATATATAAGAAAGTTAAGCACAGGCTGTTACAAAAATTGCCTTATTCTTTGTGACCGTAATTTTTTCTGTTCTCCACAGGTAGGTGTAATTTTTTTACATTATGTCCACTTAAGGGAAAACTTTAATCATTCTTCCTACCTGCTGCAAGCACTGTCACAAATTTGAAGATCCACATTCACTTCCAGCAAAAGAGTGGGGTTATTACTGAGTTAGGAATTTTTTTTTGATTGATACTGGTAAGAACTTGCTGCTGCTTTTTATAGCATTGTGCTTCCTTGAAGGTTTGAACTGACACTCTCTTTCCTGATATATTTATTCTTCAGAAATTCCTTACTATGCTGTTATATCATTACACAGAGGTAGGTCATGGTCGGCTGGGTTTTTTTGAAAAGCAGAGCTGTGGTCAGCTACTAGTTCTTCAGAGTGTAACCCTGTTGCCTTGAATTGTCAGTGGCATCTATAGCAAAGGTCAGGGAAATTTTTCCTTGTTTTCTGCTTTTGCTTCTTTCTTTCTCCTGGGAGCTGAGAAGAGGTAGGGAGACAGTGGAATCACCACAGCATTTTTTCCTAACTGAGGCAGAACAGACTGGTTGTACTCACTGGTGACATCGCATGACTGCACGGTAGTGATACCACAGTCATCATTTGGAGGAATGACGATAGTGAAAAATATGTTGGTACATTGCTATGTAAAATAATCAAAGGCTTTGTCAAGACACTGTATGTGCAAATTTTTCTCCTTTCAGGCCGCACTCTTTTTAAGCACACAGTCTTCCAGGCTTTCCTTTCTAACCTTCAGATTCTTTTTTATCTGGAGTAGTGATAAATCCATCTGTTCAAAATGTGGTATGAGCTGGCACAGGAATATCCAACTTTGAGTGTGAAAGTTCAAGAGGAGGTCTTCAGGTATGAAGGAAAGAGAATCAAAGTCTCTTCTGATTGTCAGGCAGAGATTTGGAAAATGTTCAGCTCATGCCTATTATTGCTGTTCCCCACATTGCCTTTCTCTCTTTGATCAGAACTCCAGGATAATTCTTGATAAAAAGGATGAAGAGTTTAGCCTGTGTCTCTCACTGCCTGTGCTGAAAACTTAACGGGTTTGCTAGCTGCAGAACTATGTGAAAATCAGTGAGCAAGTGTGAGTGACTTGCCAGAGAAATATGGGAATGATGACAAATGAAAAAGAAAATATGGCCACTGCTATTCACGTATAACGTTACTAATGTCTTTTGTTTGTAGATCACCTCTCTTGTGACTCTCCAGCTGTTATCCGTGGTTGGCCATAATGACCAGCTTGATGGACCACGATATAAATGTACCGTATCTCTGGACTTCATCAGAGCTATTGCCCGGTGAGCTTATTAGAGATCATTTACAGTTGTATTTTCTGACTTGAAAGAGACTTCAAAACCAGTATTTGCTCAGTCATTAGCTCTCTGCAGACCAGAACAGAAATCTATGGATGTTTTCTAAGAATGAGTGAATGAGTTTTATTTATGACAAGTGTTGAACTTGAGATAAGTTTAGTCTAATTCTGTGTTTAAAAAAATTTTATCTTACAGTGGCAGTATGTGTTACAGTAACATACTGTCTTTGTGCTTAATAAAGGTCAGGGACTTCATGTGAAAATACTGCTCTAAAATGTCAGTCCGTTTCATTACCAAAAGGCACATTATGGTATTTCAATCTGAAATGATATTTAGTTCTTAACAATGTTTGTTGTACATACGATATAAAAGCTACACAGGTTATAAGAATTCTTCCACGTAGTCTATCTTGTGTGGTCCGTAGTTGATACAAACTAATTCAATAAATGAATGTAGGTACCTCAATGGCTCTGTTCATTTAGAGCCTTCAGTTTTGGAGTCTGAGAACAGTTCCGGGTCCATCAGGAGAGATCATGACAAATTACAGACAGAAATGCATGCAATACATAGGCAGCAATCAAGCCTACGTCTCATTTTTATGAAATGCCAACAGCATTACCTCACACCTGTTGCTGCAGCCAGCTTATTAGCAGGTCTTGGATAAAGAGTCTATAGCCAGAGCAGAGCCCAGAAATGACATGTGGCGAAAAGGAGGGGAAACATTCTCAAGGCCAACTCATCTCTCTAATGTGGGACTTCAGAGGAACATGTGCAGACTATATCCCATAACCCCGCTGCACGTGTTGCTCTCCTGAGCCGTTAAATGTCCAATAGCCTTGTCAGTAAGCCCCACAGACACACTCATTTCATTTGCAGTTGGACAGGCTGTAGAACGAAACTTCATCTGGTTCAGGCCTGGCTGGACCACACTGCCAGGATCTCCATGACTTTGCTATGTCAATTTGCTATTCCCAGCAATAAAATCACTTGTGAATGATGCCCTGAAAAAGCTCCCACTGATACCAAGTGCAGCAGACCATCTGCTCAGCAACATGGATGACTGTGTGTACAGACATCCCCAAGTTCTTGTCTCTGCTCTTAACTCCTGTGGTGAATACAGAGACCAGTACATAAACTCTGTGCTGACTATGAGGGTCCTTGAGTTAAAATATTTGAAATTATGCCCCTCTCTTTGCAACTTTAACATCCTTAGAAGTTCTGTTGACTCCATTAAAGTTGCTGTAAGGTAGAGATGGACAGAAAACAGCACCAAAGCTTGTGCTATGCAGCTCATGCTTACTGGAGAAAGCAGTTGTTGGAGACGCTGTCACTTCAAACCGCAGTGCGTGGTATAGTGCTTTGGATTGCTTTCCTTTAGGTCAGATGTGTTTGTGTATATATATCCTCACTGACTAGTTATGAGGAAGAAAGCAAAGTAGTTTGGAAGTGTTTATATGCTGCCTAGATAGGGCCATTTGAATGACCTGACAGATTTTAAAGTTGTCCTGTTCTACTCTTCTCCAGTTCCTCCCCCCCCTTTTTTTTTCTTGCTTTGTTCCTTTGTTACACTTTTATATTAAATATCTTTTCCAACCCACGGTCTTTGTTAAATATTTAAGGAGGACGATCCATAAAGATGCAAGGTTTCATGATCCCATGATAAATGGGCTTCCCCTTGTCTTGGTGGGGCTAGCTAGAGGGTGCAGGCATGATCTTCTGTGCTTTAAGAAATTTCATTTTCTAGCTGTGCTGTAGTCTTGCAGCTGCCTTTAGTTTTTAACTGCTCATGGGAGAGGTTATATTTATTGCAGAGAGGGAGCTACTTTGCTATTTCAACCAAAATGCACATCAAGTAAGCAGCCCATCTCCTGATTCTTTTTTCTTTGTTACTGTAATAGTACTAGAATAAGTTTGTTAGGCACTAAAATCTTCAGATGCCTCAGCCTTGTTCCCATCTCAGCCTTGCCGCTCTAGTATATTTCCTAATGGAAGGCTGAAGAGTGCAAAGAGCAGGACAGAAAAGGATGCTCTCTCCCTCCCCTCCCCACCCCTGTTCAAGCTGTTCAGATTGTGATTTCATCTTCCTGTATTTTTTTAAGCAAAAGTGCAATTTGCATTTAAAACAAAACGAAAGTCACCTGTTCTTTTTTAAAGAGTAGAAAACTTAATGTCTCTTCCTGGTGGCTTTTAGTGTGATAACCACTGGCCATGCACGGTCTTTTTAGTATCACAGAACCTCATGTCTGGTTCTGTTCTGTTGCATATGTTCGGTCTTTGCATATTGCATATTCCCGTGCTTTTTAGCACGTAGTATTTGTACCTTTGGCTGAAGGTAAGGTTAGATGTTTCTTTGTTAGAAATTTTTAGTTTCTGTTCTAGGTATTTCAGACCTAAGTTCATAAATTTTCTGTAGCTGAAGTGAGGATCTCGTAATGTTTGTTGAATGTAATGGATCTTTCCATATAGTCTCTAATGAACCCAGTTGTTGTGACAGGACAATTGTGTTTCATTTAGTTGATAAGGTCAGCATTTGTTAAGAGAGTATGGTTTTGTTTCTGTGGAAAGCCTTGTACCTAAAGCACTTGTCTTGAGTGACACAATGTCATGTGAGTCTAGCAGTGGCAGTTAATTTCTTTAATTTTGTCACTGGATTATCAAGTAGACTCAAACTTAGTATTTCTTGTTATGTATCTTGGGGATTTCTGAACTTTTCCTTTCTCCAATATGAAGTTTTATAGAAACTTCTTGAAAAGTGGGTTACAGGATGATGTGTGAACAGAGAATATTAAATGATTGTAGTCTAACAAATAAGACATTCAGCCAGTTAATCTCACTTAGCATTGTGAGCGGTTATTTTTGCATCATTGAGTACTTTTAAAAAAAACTTTTAATTTTATACTTGTCATTATATGCAGTAATTTGCATTATTTATTCAAACAGTAAACCCCAAAGTCTGAGTGTTAGATTGTATAGCAGAATGAGTTTAGAGACAAAAAAATAATTATATGCTTTATTCTACTGCTGTTTCATTCTGCCTGCCATTAAAGTACAAAAGTATACATTAAAATCTTCTATCCCATTGAGTGGCATTCTTCGATTTTTCAAATTTAGCTATGAACATGGGTCAACTAGTGTCAAGACTGAAAGAACGCAGACTGCAAATGAGTACAGATGAAGGACTTACGTAGTACATGCTAAAACAGGTGGTTTGGAAGACGAACAAAACAATCAATAGCATAAAAGATTGCTGCTTTGCATCACCAACTAGAGTATCATGTTTACTGTATGAAAATATAGTCTTATTAACTTTGATATATATTTTCTGCTTAAAATGGATGTAAGAGTCTTCCAGGTTTTACTAGAAAGCTGCTATTATTTCTTTTTTAGAATCTTGCAAAGTTTAAATAATCAGAAGACAGGTACAGTAAATAACACTAGAAGTTCAAAAATTCATTCAGCCTTGATTGTATTTCTTTTGGAGATATTGCTTGATTTTGACTGTGCAGAATGTCCCGCGTGTGCTGTCTCCACACAGGTTAAAGTCTTAGCTCTGTTAAGATGATTGCTCTAATATACTGTGTTTTTGTTTATAGGACCGTGAACTTCGACATAATAAAGTACTTGTACGATTTCTTGTGAAAACAAGCTTCACAGCCATATGGACACTGTGACAATGACTAAGGCAAGCTGTGTTCATCTCTCTACTTAGCTGGCCAGAAAGAAGAGTATTTTGGCTCTTTTGGATTTGTCCAAACAGGTGCTGGCCCAGCATGGAACCTGATGAAAATACTCTGATTGGTCTGGGTGGATCTGAGCAGAGGACTATTTACCAGAGACCCTGGAGTATTTGGAAGCAATGTGTTAATTATAAACAGCAGGGTTTGAGCACAATCTGTTCTACTCTTAATGATGTTATCTTAACACTGAAATTGCCTGAAACCCATTTACTTAGGACTGCATTTTGCTCTATGAACTCTCCCCAGTGCTTTGAACGTGGCAGCAGCCCTTGTTTGTATGCCCAGTCTTTTCACTTCCTCTCCACAGGAATCTTCGCAATTGCCTGCCAAAGCAGCTTTTCCTGAGGCCACCATTTTAGGAGAGTGGAGTAGCAAAATATAATAAACATAAGAACATATTTAAAATCAGGCTGGTATAAGTCCTTCCTTCTCTTCAGTCATATGTAGGCAGACTGTTACACTGTTATATGGAGATCACGATGATAGGAAACTCCTAATTAATCACCATACTGTCTTTTTTCAGACCATTCATAAATGTTGACTACGAATTTATTTTTACAAAGCTTTATTTTAAAAAATTGTTGATTCTTACAGTTCTATCCCGATGTCAAACTTGAAGTGTTTTATTTTTGTTTAAACATTTTACAGTCCTTTTATGCTCATCCAGTATATATAATGCTGTTGGCAATTAATGTACTTTAAGATACACACTGCGTGGTGGCTTTTGTAACAGTATCTGTCCTGTAGAGGAGGATGGCACAGCTGCCTTTCCATCAAAAAGGGAGAAATTCAACAGGTTACAGAGTATTCCTGCAGCAGATCCCCAAAAGAGGCAGAATAGTGAATACTGAATGTGGTGTTATAACATAAAACTTTAGTTTTAGAAATACATGATGGAATACGCTACAGTTACATTTGTCTCCGTTTTACAAGTAGAGGATTCCCAACTGCTGCTACTTTTATGGGGTATTAAAATCCCCTAGTCCAGTTTGGGATTATTGTCTTCATGGATCTGAAGATTTCTGTCACCCTCTTGAAAACTCCAGGTCTCACCCCCTGTTACTCAGATGTTTTACTCCTGAGTGCTGGCCTTTGGCTCTTTGATAGTACAAGACCATGTCCTCTGTTGACCATTATGTTTTTTTCCAAGGAAAAAAATCGTCATTCTTTCCCCCCTGGCTCTGATATCAGAGATGGTCAAACACCCTGACCATGTGTAGCTGTTTCTTTTCTTTTTCTCCCCCACCCCCAATTGTGGGAGTGTAGCCAGGCTTCTGGATGCAGACCCAAATGAACGAGTTCCAGGTGAATCTAAGCTACAAAAGCGTCTTTCTGGCCAAGCTGTCGCTTCCCCCCTCAGGAGAGTGTGAAAGGGCAGCAATGAGTCATCTCCGTGATCCTTTTTCCTTCCTACCGCTGAGCTGAATCAAACCCTGCACCTGTCCATGAGGTGGCAACGTTTGTCCCACTTGCTGAAGTGCTTGGATGCAAACACATGACCTGTTTCAAAATGTTTACTATCTGCTTTTGGTTTTCCTAATAAAATGTACATAAGGTGAACTTGGTGCTAAACTTTACAGCATCTTCTCCTTTTGGAGCTAGTGCTGGGCTGAGCTCAGCTTTTGTGAATCTCCTGTACCCAGGGCTGAAAGTTGGAGAAGAAAGAAGGTTTTGGGTGTTCATACGTGAACTAGTCTGTGTAAAGCAACAGCAATGCATCATGGGGTTTTGTGACATCTGATCTGGATTAGAACTTGATATATGAAACGTCATAGGGCTGATACTAATTTATTAAGTGCTACAACTCGTGAGTCACAAAATTTCAAAAACTCTATAGCCAAGCTTGTTTACAGCTTTCAGCAAAGTGGGGCAGGGTGGGACTGCTGGGGAGGGACAGTGCCAGGTTTTGAAGCTCCTGCTTAGTGGTAGCCAGGATGGCTGAGAACCTTAGCACCTACCAAGCAGAGGTAAGAAGCTCTTCTTTGGGAAGCTTTACTACCAACAGCAAGTTGTGAATAATACCACACTTCCACTCAACCTTCATGAAAATACCACAAATCCTAAAAAATAGTTCCAGATATACACATTAAGAGAATACAAGGAGAGTATAGAAGACAGCTTAACTGGTAGCCCTACATGAGAGTATATGGATGAACAATAAATTTGGTCATGTTAGAGACATTTTCCTATGGGAAAGAAATTAATAGGATTTTTACCAGTTGGCTTAGTACACGGCCATTTCAGGAATATTTCTAATGCTGCCTTATGATGGGGGTTGATGAGAGTTGAGATGCAGATTCAAAGGTTTCAAACAGAAAAAGAAGAACGAAGCATAATGGTCTTTTGCTCTAGTATAATAGCAAATTGGCCCAAGCTCGGGATTGTATGGTTAAATTAATTCCAGAATCTTCGTTTTTCAACAGCGTGGATCCATACACACATAGTTACTTGTACCAGTACTTAATGAAATAGTGTATTGCTTCTGTTAATGTTAAAATTCAATTGGTTATTAGAAATGAGCTCAAAAAATATGGATAAATTATTTTTCTTTTCACTGTTGCCATAGCTTTTCTAGAAAGAGATCAAGGCTAGAACCAGTTCAAGACTGAACTGCCTATAGCTGCTAGACAGGCAATACAGATGGAAAGAGCTAAATATGCCGTATATCAAGACTGGTGTTTAGTATATGTCTTGGCAATGTTTGGATGAGGCACAAAATCAGTCATTTAAGTTCTGGATTAGGTTGCAGCTGGAAAAACATCCCTTTTGCATTGTGTCAAATGTACTCCCTTGGTTGTCCCACATTTTCAGTAACCCCATCACTCCCACACAGGAGACCAGACCCTCAGAACTACTCACCCCCAAATTTGGAGCACAAAGTATAGAAGACATGAAATAAAGGTCTTAGAAAATAAGCACTGACAAAACTCGGTGCTGCTGATACTTTTTTCAATGTCATTTCTTTCACACTCACCTGATGATCATTTCCAGTGTAAATCCAAAGGATGAGGATACAAATTTTTGTGGAATGTAGTTAATTTGACTGAAATTAGGTTAACTGGAGAAGAAGTAGTTACTGAGGATCCGTTAGACAAAACCACTGCCCTTACATTGAATGCACTTTTGCGACCTTTTTGAAAGACTCCTATCGGTGATATAAAATTTAAAGCTGAATCAGCAGAGTATGAGAATGAACAAGGTGACTGAAGTGCAGATGATTGATATAGGCTATAACTATGCTGATGATGAATAGTAGGATTTATTCTGACAAACTAGAAATATTTCTATATATCCATGTCAATGAGTTTATAAATTACTGCCGAGTTTCTTACTAGCTCCCTATTTTGTCCTGGTCATGGATGAGGTCTGGCCTCCTTCAGCCTCCCTGGCGTCAGGATTTCACCCCTTGTACAGGTGGTTTTAAGAACTGTGAAAAAGAAGCAGAGCAAGACAGTTGTTTGACTCATCAGAAATCCTGCTGTACTTCAGTGCAGCAATATGCATTTAAAAAATAACAGAGAATTTTTCCATAATTCCTGAGTCCATAATACCATAAAAATTATGAACTTAGAGTGCCTGTCTCCAATGGCTGATCCAAACATCACCAGGAGCTGGGGCTTGTTCTTACAAGACAAAAGTAATGGAGAAACAAATGCAGCTGACATACAGTTGTGAAGAAATTCGCGTCCTTGAATAGCTTCGACTTCATCAACAGCTGCATTTTCATACATATAACATGGAGATTTTCTTTTACAAAAAGGCTTGCAAGGATGCATCTGCATGTAATACAGGAGGAGACTTGTTCCTGTTTGACAGTGATTTACCTTACTCTGGTTCTCCCAGAACCTGCTGCTTCTACCATCATCATTCCCCTAGCTATTGTGTCTGGTTTCCTGCGAGTTAAAGAAGTGTATTGGTTATTTGGGCACTTTCTAAGTTTTGGTGCGTCTATACACCATTATTTACACATGTGAGAATACATCCATCTTTACCATTGGTTAAATTTTTCCAGTACCCACCCAGTGGTTTTGCCAAGACCATCCAGGCATTATCTGCTCCCTTCATAACTGGA